GGCGGTAGGTATAGGGAAAGTTTGGGCTAAGAGTCCTTAAGCATGAGCGAACGTTTTTAAGGTTTGTGAGGTAGTGATGTTATCTGGGTAAGATAGGGGTTAGAGAACATGGGTTGAAACGAAAGTTGTAGAAGGAAAGGTCAGACCATGGGTCACAACTGAAACCTTCGGAGAGATAAATGAGGTTGAACCTTGCAGATTTCCCACACAGGTGAGTGTCCAGAATCGTGAATTGAGTCACCTTGAGAAACGATAGCCGTAGAGCGTAACGCCGGTGAACCGGCAACTCTCCGGTCATTATCCATCTGTATAAGTAGGTATTCCACCCTTTTGCTAGAATCGGAAAGCTCCATGACCATCATTTCGAGGAAAGTCTGTCGTTCCTCCAACCGAGTCATACGTTGCTCAGCTCCACTCATCGTCGCCGGAATAGGTAAATATGGCGTTTGACTACTGCCAGAAGCATTCTTGTTTTTATCCACCATAGTCTGTAATGCCAGGATCGAAGGCTCTGAATACCAATTGGAACGATTCTACTTGCTAAATAAAGGAAATTAACAGAGAAATAAGAAGATTTAGAGAAAAAGAGGATTGATATTCATCATCTTACGCTATTTACAATACTCAGATTCTATCCTTTTAAGGATGAAAAAGACAACTATTCTAATTGTACTCCCCAAACCAGAAATAAATGCGTGTAATCTTCTAGAACCCTTCCTAGCCTTTCTCTATGGACCAAAATGGAAAAAGCTAAACTTAAGGATTAAAAATGAAAACTCAATTCTTTAATTACAATGACTGATATTAACAGTACTTCACTAACTCCCTAAACATTCTTGATTCTCCTTCCTTAGCAGTGATGATTTCTAATCGTCACACATCACATAGTTCTACGTGCTATGCGTTGCACTAATAGAATTTTCCCAACTTTAAGGTGGTAAAATTAAATTCTTTTTGAATCTTAGATCTCTTTTAGACATTCAAGAAATGCGATTGGTTTTAGGTTAATTGTTGTTTTTGTTACTTTTAAAGGTTGAGTTTCACACTTTATCTTTTGATTTTAATTTTCTGCTAAAGGTGATTAGCTCTTTATTGTTGTTAAGATTCAACTTCAAGAATAGACTTTTTGAATTCAAGAAATTCTTTCTTGAATTCAATTTCTATCTTTTTTGGTTTTTAATTTCTTTTTAACTTCCGCACATTTCTTCATTTTTCATTTTTCTTTACTAGTTTCTTGGATCCCTAACGTGTTGTTATCAATATAGAAATAGAAGGCCAATGCAACCTTGATAAACTGATCAAGAACAAAGTGCGGGTTGATGATATGTGTGAGCACGTGATTTTTGCCCTATGTGAAATTACTCCCATAAACTCAAGAAATAATTTTTTCCATTATTTGCAATTTTTGTAGATTTTTCATAGGATTTTTGTTAATTGTTTGCATTTGTCCGTGCATGTTTATTTTACTTAAATCATGAAAAAATACAAAAATACCATGAATTTGCATTTAGGACTTAATTTTACATTTTTTAGGTTAATTATTAATTTAGTTGTTTTACAAAAATAGAAAATCACAAAAATAACTCTTTTTGCGTCTTTAACTTTTTAATTTTACTTATAGTTTTTCTTTAATTTAGGATTTAATTAATTGTTGAAAATACTGTATTGAGTGATTAATCTAATTTTGTAAGTTAATTTAGTTTAAGAATTAATTTAGGTCTTAGTTTTAATTTGAAAAGAAAAAAAGAGAGAGATTGAAAATTAAAAGGAAAGAAAAGAACAACAAAAAGGCTGATTTTGGCTTAGCCCAAAAGAATTCTGCTCAGGCCCAACACCCACTAAACCCGCCCAGCCCCATCGGTTTGACCCGACCCGTCCCAATTGTAACACAAAATCACCCCAGAAAACCTAAATCAAAAGACCCAAAAACGGAAGCGCTGTTCACTCTCTTCTCCACCTTAGATCCGCGTCCAAACTCGCCAAATCTCAGGCGAGTGAGCCAAAATCACTCACACGCACCTTATCTCACCACGTCAGCAAGATTCTAACGGCTTCTGACATTTTCCTTCTCTCGCTGGATTCGTTTTGGAATTTCTGAAGAATGAATTCCGAAAATGGGAGCCGTGGATTGATTTGAGGATCAATCCTCTCCTTCCATCTGTCAGGGTTCATTCTAGAAGAGATTTACTTCCGGATTTCTTGTGAAAAATGAAAAATTCGAGAGAGGGGGCTATATATACCAGGTCTGATTTGAGGCGAGGGGAGGATTTTTTTTGGAGGCAGAGGTCACTTGAGAAAATTAGGGTTCTAGAAAAAGCTTCTCTTCTTCTCTTTTGTTCATCTGCATTTTTTTTGTTTAATTCCAGTCACAATAGAAAAATATATACAAAAAAAAAAATGTTTCGTTTGATATTAGCAACTCTGTTCTCTTCACCTTTTAATTCAGAAATTTCATCTTTATTATGAGTTTGACTGAGGTTCGAGATTAGGTGTTAGTCGCCGATTGGAGATTCTGTCCGAGCTTGTTGTTTTGGTTCGAGTTTCTGTTCTAGCTGTGGTATCGATTTTGTTCGTGTATTTGCTGAATATTTTTGAGGAATTGAAACTCCAATCTTCAGGTGCAGTTCTTTCTTTCTTCTCATGTCTCTCTGTATGTGTGGATCCAAGTATGGTTGAATCTTAAGATATGGAGATTAAAATTACATGTCATACCTAAGTAAATGTCAGTAATTGCAGGCTCGAGTTGTTGTCATTTTCTGCATTTTTGTTTATTTCCTTTATAAATCAGTGTGTTTGAGTTCATCATGTGTTTGGAACATCCTGCAAGGTCGGATTTGCTTTATCTTGGTGTGAATGATTGAGGTTTGAATCGAGTATGTGGTTGTTAGATGAGGTGCAGTGTCTGTTTGTCAATTCAGTGGCATTTACAGAACTTCTCACACGTCTCGAATGCAATACGAGTTTATGAAATTAGTGACCATTCATTTTTCTGCTGTTGTGTTGCTTAGTCAGGGGTGTTTATCAGGACTTGCTACGAATGTTGGAAGATAAGCGATTCAATGCTTGTTTTAAAGCAGTAGTTGGTCTAAATTTCGGCTGTCCAGGTGGAATTGATTTAAATTTCAGCAATAGCTTGTTAAAGTTTGGTTTACTTTGTCATGTTTGGCATGTATTTCGTTCGGCGTCGATCTCAGCTAGCTTAAGTTCGTGGTTGGCTAAATCCACTCGTTAGGAGAAATCACAAGTCCTGCCATCATATTTTTTGCATAAATGCTTATAATTCTCCATTGTGAATCATGAATAGAATAAGTTATCGTCTCTTCTTCTCCTTCTGATTTTTCTCACTTCTCTTTTTGATACTTTGAGAAGCAGCATTCTTATTGGACTTGGATAACTAACAACCTTGCTTTGGATCTCGATGTTAGTTGGATTTAATAAAGATCAAGGGTATGATATACAGGGATGGGGTTTAAAGGGAATTTTAAAGGGTTCTCATCACTTTGAATCCGTCATGTATTTCTTCCAACTGTGATTTGTATTCCTGTTCTAGTTTATATGCCTTAGAGGTCTATTTCTTCTGGTTGATTGATAATCGTTTGAGTGATATCGGCTATTGTTGCTCTTCGATATTATTTCACCCTTGGTTGTCGTCTTAGTTCATTCTTCTGTTTCCTGAAGACATGTACCTTTTTGAAATCTCTTGGCTGAACTCATGCTCCATCTTTTGCTGCTATCTTTATTATTAGTATGCTGTTAAGTTTTAGCAGTTTGCCTCTTTTCCAAAAGAATCGTATTTCAAGCTTATTGGGGCTACACTGTACTTTAGGTGCTACAGTCCTTTTAACTAAGTAAACTTCAAGTTGTTACGCAAAAGTGAACCTTTGATTTGTCAAAGCTGAAGGCCTTTCTGCTGCTCTAAATAATAGAAATCCTTGAGACCCATCTTGTAAAGTTTCAATCTTGGCCAGTAGTTCAGTTGATTTTGGGGTTTGAGGAAGTTTGTGGAAACTTTCCTTTGTGGTTTCAACTAAAAGAATGGGATTCCCAAATTCCGGAAAGAGGTCGATGTGTATTACTATGGCCCTTACCTAGTATATACTTTAAATCATCACAATTTCAAATTAGCTTCAGGAGAATAATAATGGACCTCCTAGCTTGCTCTAGGCACATTTAATCTATAACTGTGATTGTGTACACGTTCGCGTTCGCGTGACATGATTGCAATTTTAAAGACAAAACCGGAGTATGCGTTCGCGCAACTTTGGCTAAACTTTTCTTAATAATAATAAAGCATTATTAATTGTGGACACGTTTGCGTGAAATGATTTTTGACGCACCAAACAAATGGGTACACGTGCGCGTGACCCGTTTCAAGATAATTTCGCGTGACATAATCCAGTTTCGGTTGTCACTTAAATTGGAAAAACTCCCTTTACCCCCTTATGAGGGTAGTAAAAAAGTTTCAAGATAATTTCGCGTGACATAATCCAGTTTCGGTTGTCACTTAAATTGGAAAAACTCCCTTTACCCCCTTATGAGGGTAGTAAAAAAGTTTCAAGATAATTTCGCGTGACATAATCCCGTTTCGATTGTCACTTAAATTGGAAAAACTCCCTTTACCCCCTTCTAAGGGTAGTAAAAAGGAGGTGTGACAATATGTAGTGTGAAACCTTTGGCGCCGAACTTCCCAAAAATGGCACGTCATAGTATATGCTTATCGACTGGTGCTCTTGTTGCCTTATTCAACCTCTATGCAATTTCAGTTATGTAAAGGGAAAAATTAATTCTCGCTACATTACATAGACAGTGAGGAATAATGGATATATGCCCTGCTTCAGCATCATATCTATTTTATGCAACCTAACAAAATGACCACCGAGCTAGATGATTTATTCTGAAAACAAAAAATGTAGTAGTAATTCTATCACATACAAGATATTTTTATTTGGAAAGAGAGATTTCTAGTTGTAAAAAAGGCAAATCCTCAACCGCCAAAGGACTAGGAATAAAAACCCTCATAGATTATTAGAGAAAATTAAGAGCTAGTTCCAAAATAATTCTGCTCAAAAGCCACTGAGAACCTCTCTTATACACATGGCAAAAAGTGGATTAGTTTTACTATATCCTCCATCAATCATTAGGTTCAATCCACTCACATACTTAGACTCATCACTTGCCAAATAAACTGCAGCTGCTGCAACATCCTCAACCTCTAACTTTGCTTCCTTCAGATTAGCCGATTTCATAACTGCCTCATCCACCTTACTCTGATCAATCCCCCCAGCAAATTTAGACACCATTGGAGTAGCTACCACAGATGGTGTAATGCAATTTACTCTTATCCCATATTGCCCCAATTCGGCGCACAAATTGTTGGCTAGTCCAATTACAGCGTGCTTAGATGAAGCGTAAGTGTGCGGTGACATCCCTGCTACAACGGCTGTCACACTCGCGGTGAAGAGAATGCAGCCCGTTTTGGCCGGGATCATCACGCGGGCTGCATGTTTAGCGCCGAGGAAGGCGCCAAACACGTTGATATCGAATACTTTTTTCAAGTTTTCGTAGTCTGTGGTTGTAATTCTTGGATCGACGCTTCCCGTTATGCCTGCATTGTTGTACATGATGTCGAGCTTACCATATTTTGAGACTGCAAAATCTATTGCCTTCTCGACTTGGATTTCGTTGGTAACATCGCAATGGACGTACGATATGTGGTCTGGGCCGATTTCGTTGCAGAGTGAATGGCCAAGATCGTCTTGAACATCAAGAATTACAACCTTGGCACCATTTTTGATGAAAAACTTAGCCGTGGTAGCACCAATTCCACTTGCACCTCCAGTGATGACTGCTACTTTACCTTCTAGTCTGCAATGTTAAAATGGCAAAACCAAATAAGAAAAGAAAAGGAAAAAACAGAGAATATCAGGAAAAGAGATTGAACTTTATAATGTGTGGCTATAACTCTATAAAACTTTTAAAATTTGTGGTCTTAAATATGACATAACAGTTGTGTGACTATAAGAACTTACCATTACGGGTAAAATGAGACGTTCAAGTTAAATTATTTTTAAATATTAAAAAATGTCATTCTTTTTTAAAGAGACTAATAAGAAAATAATATATTCCTTTTGCAAAGAAGGGGCCGAGGGAGTAGTTATTTAAATTATGTTTTTTTTTCCACAGACAGGGGCTTGAAAGAAGAATAATTAAAAGAAATAATGGAGCTAGGTGATCACTGAATACCTTTTGGCTGATGTAGTGGCTGAACTGCTGTTGCTGGTCATCTTTGATGACAAGATTCAAGAAATAATGACTTCACAAGTTGTTCTCTGAATCTCTGCGATGTGTTGAGTTCTATTGTCCAGTTTCTTACTTGGTTAAGCTTTATAGTAGTACATGGCCATACCATTTCCGGAATGAAGAAAATTCAAATATATTAAATTAAACAATGCAAAGAAATCTTGCAAATGGGTTGGAATATGAGAGAGCAGGAGTTTTTATTTGACTGTGAACTCAAAGTCCCAATTGGTCTTTCTTGGCTGCTAGATATCTTTTCTTTTTCAAGCAGAGTTCTTCTTCTTTCTTTAATTTATTGGTCAATAAATTTTAGAATGTAGAAAATTGTAGCAAATCAGCTTTAAAGTCAATAAGATTGAGCGCTGATGATTATTTACTTACTTGTCGGCTTCAACTAATATATACTCCCTCCGATCCATGCGAATCTGTTAGACTGAGCACGAAATTTAAGAAAAAAGGAGATTTTTGGAATTCGTGGCACTAAACAAGTCAAAAGCGGGTCCAGAGTATTTGTGTGGTTATAAAATATTGTCATTAAAGGTGGAATTGTAAGTTTAAGCTAAATTGTTTCCAAATTTAAAAAGGGGTCATTCTTTTTGGAACGGACCAAAAAAGAAATATGAACGTGAACCTGGGAGTATTCCTTTTGAAAATTAAGGACATAGTATACTCTAGTGGCTTTGATTGACTTCGACACTCAGATTAATGCTACTTCTAGATTAACAGCACTTGGTTAAACTTTGAGTTGGGTGATAATTCGAATGACATTTATTTAATTTTGAACAAATCCTTACATTCTTCATAGTGACTACAGAGTAGTAGTGTCAAGGGCCTCTATTCAACTAAATCTCCAATTTCTTCCGCTTTGTACATTGAACCACTAGATAATTTACCTAATCTCTTTGTTGTCCGGTTTTTGTCACTGTTGAAGGTATGCTTTATTAACTTTCGCATGACACATGATTATTTTGATCCTAACAGGTATCTCGAAAATAAGGGTGCATTTTGTTCCCAGCAAGTTGCTGCACGGAGGTGGCAGGAATTGGATCACATATGCTGCATCAGTTGTAGGGATGTACATGCAAGAATTTGGCAACGGAGCTAGGATTACACCCTTTGCTATATTGTCAAGTAAAGTTATCAAGGAAACGGAAAAGGGTCATATGTGCCAATGAACTATGCGAAATAGGATAGATATGCTCATCGTTAATAGTTTGGCACAGATATACCCAATTCATCCAATACTTATTCACTCATGCCCATAGTTTAACGGAAGCAATATTTTGTCTTTCTTAAATAATTAATGAAAAAGTGCCTAAAATGCCCCTCTACTATATGAAATAGGACATCCTGGCCCTCCATTAAAAGTTGACTCCTTATCTGCCCTTGCAGTCTAAAAATGGGCTCAAAAATATCCTTCTCCACTAACGGGAGACTCTAAAATCCACGTGAAATTACATTTACCTAATTAAAAATTTCAATCCTAATTTAAAATGCCACATGAATTTAAAAATACCTCAACTCCTCTTATTTCCCTACCCCCTACCCCCGGGCCCACCCCCAAAAAAGCCCTAGAATTCCCCATTCGCACCCCCAAACTCCAAAACCGCCGAGCCACTTTCCTCCGCCCTCTCGCCGCCGTTGAGGCACCTGAGAAGGTAGTCCAGCTCGGTGATGAAATATCCAATTTAACCTTCGCTGACGCTCAGAAACTCGTCGAGTACCTTCAGGATAAGCTCGGTGGTACTGCCGCATCCT